GGAGGAGGAGGAGGGAGCGGGCCTCGGGGAGGCTAGGGAATAGTCCGACCCGACCCTATACCTAGACCTCAGGACCGTTAGTCCGCGGGCAAACCTGGCCTGGGCGCATGAGCTTATGCAGCGACAGGCTTCCTCGTCGGCTGGCCCAGCGCAGCCGAACCCGCGAGAGCTGACAGAGCTGCACTGGCGAGCGCACACGCTCGCGAGACGCACAATGAAAACTGCACACTACGTCGTGGACGAGGCCGACACAGGGAAGAGCGGGAACGGGCAGGGGCCCGAGAGAGAAACAGAGGCAGAGAGAAAGGACGGGGGAAACAGGGGCAGAGCAGGGAACAACATATCAAGAATGGGACAGGAGTAATAATATAGAGTATCGCCACCCTCGACTGCAAACTGACACCATTTACACCTACGGGTGGGCTCTCGGAAGCTTCGCGTCGTGCACCTGGTATTACACAAGGCCCTCAAGGGCATTCTGTCCCAACGTCCGAAGGTACAACGCACAGGCGTCTATCTGGACATCAGTCGGGGGGGGGGGGGGGCGGGGCGGGTGAAAAACCTGTTGCGCCTGTCTATGGTGGTCCTATAGCCAAGGGCTATCAGGGCTAGTAAATGTTGATGCGTTTTTTTTTTGATTTTTTTTCTCTGGGGCGGAGGGCCATGGGGCGGGGCGCGGGCGGGGGGGGGGCAATCTTTCGTCGAATTTTTTGACGGGCTCATGATGGACGATGACTGGGCGACGGGGTGCCTCTTCCAAAAGATGGCGCACTCGTCGCCCCCGTCAAATTCGAAGATTTCCCCGCCTGAGCTCGAAGAGGGCTGAGGAGTAAAACGCCATTCGAAACATGGGTGCCGCGCACGTGCAGACGAGGTCGCGGATCTGACACGCCCCGCCGATCTCTTTCAGCTGGCACAAAAGCGTGGCGGGGAGGGCGTTCGAGGGTGCATTCGTGAGGTACTGGCGAGCTTCTCGACGCCTTGAGACAGCAAGCTCGGATGGAAAGTGAAACTGGCCAAAGAACGTGAGACAGCTAAACCCGTGCATGTTATATCTGGCGATACTCTTGGTTAACCCGAGATACAGGCCCTTGGTAATCCTTGCCCTTCCCTCCATCTTTCTGGTCGGCCCCTCCCAACTCAGTGCCCGCGCATCCCATCCAAGAAAAACTCCGGGGTACTTGGCGGCCGAGGCGAGAGAGAAATTGGAACCCCTGATCCCGAGCGCGCACAGCTCCTGGTCGAATTCACTCCTGGAAGGCCTATAATATGGTACCACGACCGTCTTTTTCACATGCAATACAAGGCCGGCAGCGCCGGCAGCGATAACCCAAACTTCGAGAAAGAGAAAGAGAGAGAGAGAGAGAGAGAGAGAGAGAGAGAGAGCCAGAACACGATAAACATCGCGGGCGACGAGGCCAACGCCATCGGCGAATGCTCGGACAGCCCCAAGAGACCGCGGATTTTTGATAACACCATGCGAAGGACGGGGTCGATCGCCAGGCTGAACAAAGATCCCGATAGCGGACATCCCTGCTTAATTCCCCGTTTCTGAAGAAAGTGGTGCCCTCGGACTCCCGCGAAAAACATATATATCTTGACGTTGTGATAGAGCGAAGCTACAGCTCACCTGATATGAGTAGGCACGCTCATGACAAGGAGGGTCCAGGAGATCATACAGTGGAGGAGGCTGGGGAAGGTTGTCTTCACGTCACAGGGAGGAGGAGGAGGAGGAGGAGGAGGAGGAGGAGGAGGAGGAGGAGGAGGAAGAGGAGGAGGAGGAGGGGGAGGAGGAGGAGGAGGAGGAAGAGGGGGAGGGGGAGGAGGGCAAGCTAGGTGCGCTCGCGTCATATCTGACATCCGACCCCTCCCTCCCATCCCTTACCATGGCGCAGATCCCCTCTCTACTCGCACAGTCGGATGTCGAGCAGGGCAATGATCCCGAAAGGGTACGCGATGCATTGTAGAGCACGGCATGGCATGGCGTAGAAGAGCACCGCGAAGCGTAGTATCAACCTAGCATTGCATTGCATGCCGTGGCACGGCACGGGAAATGACGCCAGCGCTGCAGCGGGAGCACGAGTCGAAACGAGCGGAAGCGCGGAAATGAGGCCAGCGCTGCAGCGGGAGCACGATTCGGAAGGAGCGGAAACACGCCAGAATCGAGGCCCGGGAGGGCGCTGGGAAACAAAATTCAGCATTTTCAAAAGAAAAATGCATATTGGAATGGCCTTTTTTCAGCGCCGCCTTGGAACTCGATTGTCCGGCGCCGGTCGGAACCAGCTCCGGACCCGGCCCGGGCGCCGGCCCGGGCGCCGGCTCGGGCGTCTGGCCCGGGCGCCGGCTCGGGCGCCAGCCCGGGCGTCGGAATCGGCCAGGGAGGCCTCCCGGGCGCCAGAAACATAAATTTAGCATTTTCAAAAAAAAATGTGTATTAAAATAGCATTTTTTCGGCGCCGCCTCGGAACTCGATTTTCCGGCGCTGGCCGGAACCGGCTCCGGACCCGGCCCGGGCGCCGGCCCAGGCGTCGGAATCGGCCCAGGAGGCCTCCCGGGCGCCGGAAGCAGAAATTTAGCATTTTCAAAAAAAATGTGTATTAGAATAACCTTTTTTCAGCGCCGCCTCGGAACTCCATTTTCCGGGGGCGGCCGGAACCGGCTCCGGACCCGGTCCGAGCGCCGGCCCGGGCGCCGGCTCGGGAGTGCAGCCCAGGCGCCGGCGGAAATGATGCCAGCGCTGCAGCGGGAGCACGACTCGGAACGAACGGGGCCCGAAAATGAGGCCGGCGCCTCAGCGAGAGCAGCATTTTGGAAACAAATGCAAGCGAAAACCCAACTCCGGGGAAACCTGCGTGCAAAAAAACAATACGCGGGGGGGGTGGGGGGGGAACACTCCCAAGACGTCATCAGGGGAAGAGGGAGAGTAGTATTCATATTGAGTAACTGTGGAGGAGGAGGAGGAGGAGGAGGAGGAGGAGGAGGGGAGGAGGAGGAGGAGGAGGAGGAGAAGGAAGGGGAGGAGGAGGAGGGGGGGGGGAGGAGCAGGAGGAGCAGGAGGAGGAGGAGGGGGAAGAGGAGGAGGAGGAAGGGGAGAAGGAGGACGGACCCAGATAGAAGAGCGCGCCAAGTTTGGGTGACGGGATGAGCAGAGCGATGGACAGGAAGAGACGCAAAGCCCTCACTCGACAGAGAAGCCGACGACGAGGGCTCACGGCCCAGGGAATCCAGAGGCACCCCATGTCGGCCAGCACCTGGCCGAGGGCACACACATCAGAATATGATTCATGGACGAGAAGGGCCTGGCCCAGTCCAAGCCACGCCGCCGCCTCGTCAGAATACCTGAGGGGGCGGGGGTGGCAATGTGCAGTCTGGGCGCCTGTGGGTGCAAATTGTTGTCAAAGATGTGGTCTCTCCTATAACGGCGAGAGGGGGGTCTCTCGAGCAGCTCGGGCCGACAGGCCTCCGACAACTGGGATTGCCTCCCCCCTTGCTGTGCCGTAGACGGGCAGTTCACGACCACGGGCGCGCGAGATCGGGGCGAGGTCCGAGGGCCCCGAACCTTCCGAACAAGAGCGACCCGCCTGTCCCTCGGCGCCGCTGGATCCCGAGGCACGCGCGCGCTTCGCCAGGGGCTCGACATCCTGAGACGGCTCCAAGGCTCGAGCGAGGTTTCCAATGCCCTCGCCGGGCGACGGGCGATGACCCGAATCAAAATCGACTCTGGGTCGGACCGGGCGCGCATGCAAGGGCTCGCCCCCATCCTCGTCCTTCCGAAGGCGCAAGCTCGGCCTCCAGTCGGCCGAGACACACGTGCGAATTTTCATGCATCTGCAAAGAAAAACTGACTCGGGCTCCTCACGGGGTCGAGTCGTAACCGAGCTCCCCCACCCGTCGCCGCCCTCCTCCGACGATGGCGGCGCGCGGGCAGGCCGTGGGGCGCGCGCCTGCATGGCGGCCACCTGCTGCGCCGTCTCGCACTCCGTGCGAGCCAACCTGCGCCTGCCACTGAGAGTGCGAGCCGACGCGAGACACTTCGAGCACCGCCACCTGCCTCGAGTCCAGACGGGGCGGTGGCAGACAACAGGGAGTCTGGGTGGATTGGCACGCTTCCGTCTCCATGGCGCGTCCTATCTGTCAGGCCCGAGCGCGCCTGAAGCCGTGGCCTCCTGCGACTGAGCGATCCAGCACGGGGCCTGTCGGATGAGGAGGGCAGCAGCGTGGGCAGGCTCCGCATTCTCCGACAGCGCATGACAATCCAGTCCTTTGCAGCCTCGTCGGCAAAACCATTGCCGACCTTGTCACGAGACCACTCCGTCTGATGTGACTTGGCCCATTTGAAATCCAAGTCATCATGCTCCACGCCACCTTGATCGTCGATAGCGCGCCAGATCTGGCGCCAAAGATCCAAATTCTGACGGCCTCGATCGCAGGCAGGTGGTCCGACTTAATTCAAAGAGGAAGGCGTCCAACCTGAATCACCCTCAGAATAGCAAACAATTCGGCCCGCGGGACTCGGTTGGTGACCTGGCAACGGGCCGAACGCCTGCCCAATGAGATGCGCACCTGACATGATCACAAATCCCCACCCTGCCCTGGCAGAGTCGGGCCCAAAGGGCGGGATTTTTCCCGAGCCGTCCGTGGGGGCGGTGCCAGTGATATCCAGAGGATCCAGAGCAAGCGCCCCCAGTTCTCGGTCAGGGGGGGGGGGGGGGGGGGCCCCGCCTGAGATCTGGCAGCCAGGCTCTGGGAGAAAAAGACAACGCTCAAATAGCGGACATTGATGCGGCGCAGCTAGAGCTCGCTCTAAGTGAGCGGAGTCAAGAAGAGCCTCCCGCACAGCGCCCTCGCACTGAGGGCGCTTGAAAAAGCGATGATGCAAAGTGCCTGGGCACGAACCGCAAGCCTGACGCGCTTGGAATTTAGGGTAACCGCGCTGAAGCAGACGCTGCTGAGACCACTGCCCCCCCCCCCCCCCCCTTCCCGATCATCGCGGAGCGGAGGGGGGCGAGAGCAGGAGGCGAGATCTTCAATATCCCCCGCTCCTTGGCGCCAGCGAAAAGGACACTGATCGGGTCCAGGCAGCAGCCGCCTGGGGCTTTAGGCGCGCGCAGATCAGGATCCTCGGGGGCCTGCTCGACCCTCTGAGACCACTGCCCCCGCCCCTCCAGCTCGAAACCCGACAGGGCCAGCGAGCCCGCCCGCGCGGGGGCCACCGCCGTCAGGCCTAGGTGAATGCCGCTCCTCGCGCGCCACAGACGAGCAGCTGAAGCCTTCCAGCCGAGGCGGCGAAGCTGCAGCGCCAACGCGCCAGCTGGCCCCGCAACCCTCTCCCAAGGGTCCTTGGCCAGGAGCGCAGATGGTGTCTGGAGCTGCCGGGCGTCCTGCAGCGCCTCCAGGGGGGTGGCCATCGCCGCCGCCGTGCGAGCTTAGGTGTAGATCGGACCCGCCACCGACATACAGTCTGGGCGCTGTCTCCACGAGGGCCCCAGCATTGAGGCCACCCAGGTCGAGGAGGCGGCCGGCGTCTCCGACCATCCCTCGCGCGCACAGGCCGCCGTGCGCATGGCGATGCGCGGGGGCGCACTCGTGACCTGTAGGCCATAGGTCAGAGCAGGGCCAATCGACGGCGCGAGTACCTGCTTGAATGTTTTTGCCCTCAGACCTCGAAGTCGACGGAAGCGCGGGGGGCGAACAGCCGCGGCGCGCGACCTCGTCTTGACCGTCGAGTAGCGAAGCCTCCTGCCGCCAGCCACTTCCATGCCGAGCACCGAGAGCGCGGCGACGGGCTTGAAGCCATGTTCCCGCCCTCGACAGGCGATGGCCTTGGCCAATGGGGGGTCCGCGGCCAAGACCTTTGCGTTGTGTTCGGCGACGGGGAGCTCCAACTCGCGCAGTGCGTCCGCCAGCAGAGCCGGCGCCCCAGCCGCAACCTTCACGATGTCCTGCCGTATCATGATGATCTGCAGCGCGAGGTCGTCAGCGCAGGCGCCCAGGGACCTGGGGGTGCGCGCGGAGTCCTCCATGACAGCGCCCAGCGGTGCCTGGAAGAGCAGCTGGAGCAAGAACGTCGCATCCGTGCAGCCAGGCAGGACACCTCTCATGACCCTCGCAGGATAGGAGAAGGCCCAAGCCCAGGACAGTCTCCTCGGAGCGTTTTACATGAGCAGCGCCATGCGCAGGATGACGGATGGGAAATCGTAGCGACTGGCCGCCGCGACGAGCATGCCCCGCGATGCCCTGGCCGCCGCGACGAGCATGCTACGCGAAACCCCATCGAAACACTTATTGATGTCCACGAGCGCCGTCACTGCAGCAAGATCAGGGCGGCGCGCTCCAGCATCTGTCCGAACCATCAGGCGCGCCGCCGCATCGACTGTGCACTTGTTCGTGCACATGGCGAAGTGCGGTCTCATGTGGTCCCTCGCCCAGCGCCTCACGTGAACCAATCTCGCACTTGTCCAAATGTGATAGACCGACGGCAGCAAAGCGATCGGGCGAAAGCCGCCTGCGGCCTTGCTCTGAAGAACAATGTGAGCCCGCATCATCTGGGTCGGCCACCTGTGCCAGGTCTCGATGGCCCACATCAGGCAGACCATGCAAGCCAGCGCCTCGTCGGCTAAGAGAGCGAAGGCCCCGGGGAACGCGCGGTCCACGCCTGCGCCAGTGCGACATGGAGAAGAGCGCGCGGCCCGCCTCGCGTCCTCGACGCGCGGGACGGGCAAGCCTGCGTCAGGGAGACCCTTCAGCAGCACCTGCAATTCGCCCCCATCCACCGTTCGGAGGAAGCAAGTGGCCAACGTCGAACTCCCCGTCCGCGTCCGAGCCCACCTGGGCGTCGCGCGCCAGCGACTGTCCTTCCCAAACTCCATGCCACATACCCATCTGCCCATCTGCGACCGCTTGGGCCTGAGAGACAGAACGTACGCCATGACCTGCATCAGGAGAGGCTTTTGAATGCGTCCATCCGCGTACCTTCGTGCAGTTGAAGACGTGGGCGGTCGAGGTCACCATGGCGCTCCTGGCCCACTTGAAGAAAGCGGCCATTTTCGCGGCAGCTGCGGTGCCCCCAATGGACTCCGCATGAGCGTGGACTGCGTGGGCGAGCGACGAGAGAAGAGTGCGAGAGTGTTGTAGGCGACCAATCGAACCAGGATGTGCTACGGGCAGCGGGCAGACAACGGCAACATCGAGCAGGAATAGAAGGCCCTGAATCAGCAGCAAGCCAATCTCAGGGCGGACATCCCGAATCCGACCCGACCTTGAAAAACAGATGGAGCCTCGGGGCCCGTTGTCCGATACTCTCGGGCTTATCCGAAGCCGCAGCACCGTCGGCGATGGACGGGGCGACGTCTCTGAACAGGCGAGCCTGAGGCGCGCTGGCAGGATCGCCCCGAGTTGGCAGCCCACCGAATGGTCTCCAGACGTACCTAGGACCCGCAGACCTCAATCAAAAACGCCCCCTATCCAGCACCTGGTAAAAATGACGCAAGTCAGCTTCCACCATGCTCGAGAAAGAACCGTGCAACGCGTCCAAACTCGGAGCAAGCTGACTGGCTGGCGTTGGAAAGCACCCCTCTCGCAGAGTCCTCAGCGATAACCTCGAGATAAGGCTGGGACCCAGGTGGGCCCTCCAAGGGATGGCAGCCATATAAAGTTGGCTGGGGTCTGGGGAGGGCCAGAGGAACCCGGGCGCAAAGTTGCTGGGCCTCGCGAGGGCGGGCAGCAAGGTCAAGCAAGATGGGGCAATGCGGTCTAGCAGGCCAGTCTGAAGCGCATCGTGGATCCAGGCGCGCCTGCGCGAGAGAAGGAGAGACAAGCCAGACGTCGATGGGCCGATAATTCCCTTGTGGTGGTCGGCAGGTGCCTTCTCCGTTCGGGACCGCGCGCCGGGCAAGGGGCGCGTCGGAAAAGCCCCATGCGTGTCTAGCCCCGCGGGCGTAGTGTTCCAGTCGCCTGCGGCTTAGACAAGGAAGGCATAGTTCCTCGACGCTTCCGCCGAGACGTGACAGCATGTGAAAATTACAGCTGAGAAAGGCGGCGTCAGGCACATATCGAATATGCACAGAACTCAGGACTACCCCCCCATGGATCACGATGTCGGTATGAACGGCCACCGCCCATGATTGCATCACCTCAAATGCGCGCGCGCCGTTGGCCGACTCAAGCAGGCGAGCCTCCGCGAAGTCACGAATGAACAAGCCAACCCCCGCACTGGGCTGGCCGGCCTAGAGGCGACGACACGGCGTGATGTGGGCCTTCCAGCCACTGCGCGCATCCCATAGTGCAACAGCCTGCAGATCCCCTTGATCGACGCGCAGCTCCTGAGCGGCAGCGACTGTGATCCCCTCGGCGCTCTCCTTCGGGCACCTAAGGGTTTTGAAGGATTTCGGCATGCGCGCGCGGAGACGCGCGCGTGTGCACTTCGTCTCTTTTTTTGCAAGGGATTCGCGAAAAAAGTGTTATGTTAGAACAAAAATGTCACCGCATAGTGTTTTTTACAAAGGGAACCTCAGGGGGGGATACCGGTTTGGCTGGGATGATCTGATTTCATATTTATGATGGACGAATGTGCAGAATCTATCTATATATATATATGAAACTATACTATCCCAGGGGGAAGCGTTAAGTCCGGGGGGGGGGTAGAGTCTCTCTTTTTAGCAAGGAGAACTGACTACCCTGCACCGCGCCTGACCACCTCCAGTGCTCGCGCAAACATCCCACCCACCCGCCCGCAACTTGGTCGCAAGACTTCTTAAGACAAGACCGTGACGGTAGGTACCACATGGCACTTGGCCACGACACCGACGCCGACGACGACAGCGACAACGGCGACGACGGCGCCGCCGACACCGACTACGACGACACCGCCGACGTCGACGTCGACGAAGACGACGACGACGCCGACGCCGACGACGAAGACGACGACGACGTCGCCAACGAAGACGACGACGAGGGAGGAGGGAGGACGACGACGGCGACAACGACGACAACGACGATGGAGGAGGGAAGACGGCGACGACGCGAACGACGAAGAAGGAGGAAGGACGGCGACGCCGACGACGACAACGACTAGGGAGGAGGGAAGACGACGACGACGACAACGACGACGAAGACGACGACGACGGCGACGAAATAGGAGGGACGACGACGAGACGCCGACGACGGACGACGACGACGACGAGGGAGGAGGATAACGACGAGGGAGGAGTGAAGACGACGACGACGACGACGACGACGGCGACAAAATAGGAGGGACAACGACGAAACGCCGACGAAGACGACGAGGGAGGAAAGACGACCACGGCGACGACGACGACGGAGCGACGACGACGACGACGAGGAAAGACAGAAGACGACGACGGCGACGACGACGACGACGACGACGGAAGAGGGAGGACGACGACGACGACGCAAGAGCGCGCGCGCACGCTTTTGTTGAAAATCCGTGTTGCGAAACCTTGTGTTTTTGTAGGTTGTTTGGAGATATGATTTTGAAATCCTTCCGAAACCGATGGGTTTTGAAGGTTTTCGGCATGCGCGCGCGACGACGCGCGCGTCTGCACTTCCTCTCATTTTTTGCAGATGATTCCCTCGACGGCACACGCGCAAGGGCGTTCGACAGATTTCGACATGCGCGCGCGAAGCCCGTTTAATAGCACTTTGTGAAAATATTGAAAAACCTACGGTTTTCTTAAGATTTCGCAAGAGCTCGCGCGGAAGCTTTTTTAGCAAATCAATGTTGCGAAACCCTGTTGTTTTGTATGTTTTTGGGAAACTCGATTGCGAAATCCTTCCGGCACCGAAGGTTTTTGAAGGATTTCGGCATGCGCGCGCGACGACGCGCGCGTGTACACTTCGTCCCATGTTTTGCAAGGGATTCGTGAAACAAGTGCTATGTTAGAGCAACAAATGTCACCGCATAGAATTTTTTGGCAAAGGAACCTGAGGGGGGGGATACCGGCCCCCCGGGGATAGTGCAAATTCATATTTAAGATGGACATGTGGTCAGCATCATATGCGATTTACATACCCGAAAGGGGGAGTGATAACGCCAGGGGGGGGTAGATCCTATTCTGTTTTTAGAAAGGAGAATCCACTCTGCAGAACTTGAAGTCGTCATCTCCACTGCTCGCGCAAACATCCCACCCACCCACCCGCAACTTGGTTTGCAAAACCTCTTAAGACCGACTACGACGAGACCGACGACAACGACTACGACGACACCGACGACGTCTCCGACGACTTCGACGACGACAACGACGCCGACGCCGACGACGACGACGACGACGCCAACGGAGGCGACGACGAGGGAGGAGGAAGGACGACGACGGCGACAACGACGACAACGACGACAACGACGAGGGAGGAGGGAGGACGGCGACGACGCGAACGACGAAGGAGGGACGGCGACGCCGACGACGACGACGACGAGGGAGGAGGGAAGACGACGACGACAACGACGACGACGACGACGGCGACGAAATAGGAGGGACGACGACGAGACGCCGACGACGGACGACGACGACGACGAGGGAGGAGGAGGAAGGACGACCACGGCGACAATGACGACGGAAACGACCACGACGCCAAAGAGGACGACGACGACGAACACGAGGAAAGACAGAGGACGACGTAGGCGACGACGACGACGACGCGGGAGGAGGGAGGACGGCGACGACGACGACGACGACGACGACGCAAGAGCGCGCGCGCACGCTTTTGTTGAAAATCCGTGTTGCTAAACCTTGGGTTCCTGTAGGTTTTTTGGACACACGATTTTGAAATCCTTCCGAAACCGATGGGTTTTGAAGGTTTTCGGCATGCGCGCGCGACGACGCGCGCATCTGCACTTCGTCCCATTTGTTGCAGAGAATTCTCGCGACGGCACACGCGCAAGGGCGTTCGACAGACTTCGACATGCGCGCGCGGCCCGTTTAATAGCACTTTGTGGAAATAATGAAAAACCTACGGTTTTCTTAAGATTTCACTCGAGTGCGAACTCTCTCCGGCACCTAAAGTTTTGAAGGATTTCGGCATGCGCACTTCGTCCCGTTTTTTGCAAGGCACTCGTGAAAAAAATGCGATGTTAGAGCAACAAATGTCACCGCATAGTGTTCTTTGTTTACAAGGGACCCTCAGGGGGGATACTGGTTGGCATGTGACATTGCGATTTCGTATTCAGGATGGACATGTGGTCATAATCATATATGATTTACATACCCCAAAGGGGGACCAATAACGCCGGGGGGTAGAGTCTATTCTGTTTCCTAAAAAGGAAAATTCATTAGTTGTCAACTTGAAATTGTCCACTCCATCGCTCGCGCAAACATCCCACCCACCCACCTGCACCTTGGCTTGCAAAACCCATGCGGGAGCGATTTCGATGAGTGCTTGGTGTTGGTTGGTGCATCTCTGCGGCCGCGCTAGCCCGCGCATGCTCGCGCGCGCAGCGGCCAGCTAATTTGGCGCGAGCGACGCGAACGGGGTGGCGCTGACCGTTCGGCAAATCCCACCAAGTACTTCAGTGCGAGTCGGCGACCTGGGCGGGCGGGGT